GTGCAAATAGCGAAAGAGCGAGGCGCAGACCCGCCCGTGCTCGGCGCCAGGCGCCAGGTCCTTCTCGCGCGTCGTCAGGAGCTTCGAGTCGAAGGCCGCGGGGGATTCGTCGAGGCCGTCGGTCGGCCAACCCGGCGTGGCCCCGCCGCCGTCTTTTTCGTCCAACCCGGCGCCCGCGCCCTCCGGCTTTTCCGACCGCAAAAGGACGGAATTCCACTCCGCCACCTCCTCCCCGCGGACCTCAATCGAGGAATCGAACAGGCAGGCCGAGGCGTTTCCGAAGGCGTAATAATCCCGCACCCCGCCCGCCATCGGCTCGCCAAACATCCCGAGAAGCTCGGCAAAGGAGTTGTAGAGGTTGATCGGCGGCCACCCCCCCTTTCCCGTCGACGTCCCTGCGAGGTCGCGCGAAAGACTGCCGCCGGAGCTCCGCGTGGACTCACAAAAGGAGATTTCGGGGTTATTCCCGGGGAGGAGGAGCGCGTTCGGGTTGGGGGTGCGGTAAATCGACTTGGAATGGCTGAGAATCGTCTCCGGCATCGTGTTCAGGACGCGATCCGAAAGCCGCCGCCGCGTGAGGTTGGACCAGGCGTGGATGGAGCCGTTGACAAAGGGGTGGGAGTGCGCGTGAACGGTGCTCCCTCCTTTTTTCGCGTGGGGGTTTGTGAGTTTGGTTGATTTCGCTCGTCCCCTGTCCATGGGCGCGTTGGAGGCGTCCAAACCCATCAAAGAGGCCATCCGTTCGCTTCGCCCGGGGTCTCGCCTGGACAGCACCCCATCGACGCCCCCTAAAAGCAAGAAATGAAGGCACTCCCTCGCATCGGACGACGCCATGTCGCGCGAGAGCGTGGCATTGAATCCGGCGGAATCCGAGATAAAATCCTGCGAGCGCGGCGATAAAAAGGAGGCGTCGAACTCGTTCAAGTCCATCGGGCCGCGGTCGTAGGAATCCCCCCCCGCGCCTTCCCCGCGCAGCCCGATAAAAGGGCTGATGAAATAACGCCAAAGGCCTCTCCCCCAACCCTGTCCCGCCCCGCAGCCCTCACGCCGCGAACTCGACGGATGGCGGGGGTTGAACTCGTTGGGCCCGCCCTCAGGGCGGGCTTCGCGTTCGACCCCGCCCCCGTCCAGGTTGAGATCCTCGCGGAGGATTCGCAGAAAGCGCAGGGCGTGTTGTTGGGCGATGAGCTCCTGGGCGCAGGTGCGGAGGATGGGAAAGCCCCGCGCGTACGCCGCGACGAATCGCGGGACGGCGCACGGGACTTGGCGATAGACCCGGCGGTCCGGCAGCGGAATCGCCAAAATCGTCATGGAGGCCTCGCGGAGGTCCTTCATCAGGCGCCAGCGCATGCGGGCCCGCCGCGCGAGGCCCCTGGGGCGCTCGCGAGGCTGCGCCCGGGGTTTCCCGGCCGGGAAGGGCCCCATTTCCTCCGCCGCTTCGTCCCCCTTCGCGGCCTTCCCGGCGTCTTTGGTTTCCTCGTCGCGGAAGGGCGGGCGCAGGGGGAACTCCGTGAGGAGGGCGCGCTCGAAGTCCGCGAGGACCCCCCGCGCGCGCGGGGTGAGGCGGTGGGGGAGGAGACGGGGAGCGGCCCCCCCATCCGCCCCCTGCGCGTCCTTTTCCAGCAAAAGAAAATAGCGGAGGAAGTGGTCGTAATACCGCGCCGCCGTGCAGATCTCATAGACCAGCTGAGGCGGGGCCGCGTCGTCGGGATCGGCCGGGGCCTCGGCCTCGCGAAAGGACGAAAAGGCCGTTTGAAAAGGCGGGGGGTCGTAGGAAAGAATGACATCCACCAGCTGATCCCGCATCAGCCCCTCGTCGAGCTCGAGGGCTTCGCAGAAGGACTCCACATCGAGCGTGACGTCGTAGCCGTCCGGGGCGTGCAGGACGACCACCACGGGGACATAACCTGGTGAAGGGCTAAAAGGCTTCAGAAGCGTTTTCAGGACCTCGTCCACCCCCTGCGAGGACGAACACGACCCCTCCAACAACTCCGAAGCGTCTTCCGAGCCGTCGTAGGCGTGCGACTCGCCCGGCTTGACGGCGAATTCCCCCTTTCCTTCCTCGCCGGATCCGCGGCGGATGACCTCTTTACAGGCCAGGATGGTCCACCCCAACTCCCGCCTCAGCCACGAGAGATACCGCCACCACCACACGCTGTAGCTGACGAACTTGGCGAAAAAACTCTCGCTGCGGTGCAATTCCGACGCGGGGGGGTCGCGAAAGGAGCCCTCGCTCGCGCTTTTCACGGGGCCTCGGCCGGAGGGCAAGTTCGACAGCCCCCCCTGCGAGGTCCGCCGCGACCCGACCCCCACCAGCGGCGATTCCGAGATCCAATCCCCCGTCGAGGCCTCCGCGACGTCGCCGGAGGACGGGGGCTTCGCCACGGCGATGGTCGAGAAGCCGCCGGTCTTCTGCGAGTGCGAGGAGAGCGAGCGGGTGGCGGTG